TATTTCTAGTATTTGCTTTTATTTTGTGTTCATATTAATGCTTGCGAATAGGCTTTCTTCTCAATTCACATTGTTTTGTTATGAGAAAAAGAACAAAGGAAATCTTAATGCTTTGACTGTAGTACAGCAGAATATTTAATAATATCATCATTATTATCATCATTATTGCAGTATGGCAGCATCTAGATGGTCCTTTGCAGTGCTGTGGGCTAGCATGTGGCAGGGACTCTAGAGACTGCTTCAGGGAATGACTTCAGTCCCCAACATCAGCAATACTTCTTAAATGTGAAACAACTGCTTTTCTTTCTTTGAATGTTGCAACAGACAGTGAATCTGTATAGTTGATTCAGAAATTTTGGCCATTCTTATTTTCCAGATTTTGAGCTGAAATCCTTGTTGGTGTTAAGCCTCTGTCTGTAGTTCAATCATTGGGCACAAGTCTGTTAAGAAAACTTTTCTGCTTCATAGAGAAGAGGTAGTGCATCCCCCTTATCCCCATCTTCATGTAGCTGTTACAGAAGTTATTGTGATACCAGCACAAGAGTTTGCATGCGTTGACTTGCACGTATATATTACACCTGTCTGGCAATCTCCATTAACGCCAACCCACTGGGATTTTTTGACTCTACCATCAAATGATTAAGGAATCGGGAACCAGAAAGATAAATGTTGTGGTGGTTCAGAGAAGAAAGCTTTTTGAGAGTTTTTTGCAGTGATAATGCGAATGTTTTTGTTTCCATATAAACAAGTATAGCAGCCAGTGCAGGGGAACTTCTTAATAAAGCATCTGAATTCCTTATTGATGCTATGCTCCTATAGCAGTATGTTTGCCTAAAACCTTTTGGCTGGCTAGGAGACTGCAGCTGGTTCTAACAGGGGATGATGTGGTCGCAGTACGCACTTCTGGCTGGGCTATAGTATTATTACATCTTTAGGCACAAAGACATCTGCCCACAGGAGACTCCAGCTGTTATGTGGGCAACCAAAAGCTCATCACAGCTATCCTGTTTTCTAAATTGGTTCACCATAGAGTGCCACAGAACATGTCTATTTCTGTCATGTTATTTTGGTTTAAAAATACTACTCCCCAGGCAAAACATGGTTCTCTTTACAGCAGGCATATAGGAAGCAGAACTGTTGGGAGGTCTGAAGTTACAGAACTAAACTCTAAGAAATTAAAAACTGCTACAAATTTCACTCTATTCCACTCAAAAGGGCAAAATGTATGAATTTGCCTTTGCTGCAGACAAATAATGCAACATATTGGTGGGGACAGGTTAAATACAAACTTTACAAAACCAGCAAACGTCTTTGGGCATTGGAGGAAAATGCTGAACTTAATTTTGTAATGTTTGTGGATTCGTTAGGGATAGCCACTGGTGTCTTGAACTTCTGAGATTCCAAAGGATGAAGCCCCCTATAGAAATTTGAGATAAGAAGGAAAAGTAAGTTAAGATGAAAAGATGCTTTTGAATTGTAACTGGTTCCACAATTTGTTGTAAGCAAGTGCTGTTTTCATGATTGTTATTTATCTTTACTGCAGTAAAGTGGATAGTAGATGCTGGGGTAGGAAACAGTGTACATGTGTGGAGAAGGAACTCCTGTGATAACTGCCCATTTTGGTAAAGCGTGAAATAAGCTAATCGGTTTAATTAAGAAGAAAGTGATTTAAAATTTTCGAGGTAACCTCATAGACCTTAGTGAAAAGTGTTACCTGGTTACTGAAGTTTTTTGCTCAGCTCCCATTACTATTTCAGGCAATTCTTCAGTAACTCAGAGTTTTTTAGACTGCATTTTATAGTCTTCCCTATGAGAAAAGAATACATTGTTGCAAGAGTGATGTGAATTTTTGCAAGGTAAACCAGCTTTTGTTAAATCTAATTGAAGGTGCTAATCTGATTTTCGTATCTGTGCATTTCTGTACTAAGCATGACTGTTTGTCTCTTGAAACAAAAAGTTTATCAAGCTGTAAAAAACCCCACCTTCAAAAACAACTGTTAGGAAAGTGTAATGGACAAAATACAGGAACTTAGATGTGCTTTTAGAGAAAATGTTTGCTTTCTGCATGTGTTAGAAGTGAAAGTTAAAGGTACTGATCCAAAATAAGGATGAGTTTTACCTGAGCCTTGAGTATCTATTTCACTCATTCGTGTAAGTCTTAAAAGTCTGGGGATCAGTCTTAGTAACTGGAAAGGGTAAAGAAAAAGACGGTATTCTGAAAAAGCTTGAGTATTGTTTTTCTCTAAAAATATGTTTAAGTCTCTGCTGTTTACAGTTTTTTCCTTCTGTTTTTGTTTTGGGAATGAGTGTTTGTGGTTGGTTTGACTTTTGTTTTTTTTTCCTGGCCTAATGGGAATATGTATAGAAGCAAGAAACAGAAGTAGTTGAGTCCTTAGCAAAGTTGATGAAAAATGTATTGTCTGAAGTGTAGTGCTGAAGAAGTAATGGATTTGTTCTTCAGCTTCTATGTTTTATGGTATTTTTCTGAATTTCTTGCTCAATATATTTTAAACAATAGAGTTTAAATTCCTAAAAAAAAATGTTGATTAAATCAGTGTGGGGATGTAGACATCTGCAGTTCTCTAAATCTGTTTTTCTGTATGTTTTTTGCTGGGTTTTGTTTTGTGACATACCCAGATTTGCTGATTTGTGGAGAACACTGACTTTGGTTTACTGTGCATTTAGTGGAAAGCAGAATGGATTGGAAGGCCATCTTTAAATGCTCATTTATTTAGTAAAATGAGAGTGCTGTTAGGAATTTATATTTTGTCTTGTTATATTAAGCCATTAGACTTGCATTTGAAATTATTTAATAATTGAAATTTAAAGGGCAGTTAACTGTCTGTCATGTGAGATTGGTCTTTTGATATTTTGCTCTCAAGAGCTTCATTTGGAGGCCAAACAATTACATGATGATAAACAGGATATTGATGGGTTCTAGTCCCAGGTTCTCATCCTGCTGCCAGTTTTACAAGCACTCAGATCTTTTCTTACTGGCAGGGAAAATTTTGGAGACTTGGTCTTAATTACAATAAACACAAGTCATTATTTTGAGCACATATTTTTTATTTTTTTATTTTTAAAAAAGCATTAGAAGTCTGCAAAATCTCAAAGAAAATATCTGGTAGATTTTACGTAATATGTCTAAAATGATTTCATTTTCTTAACATTGGTAAGAATTGAGTTACATCATCAGCTTTTCAATTGTCTTTCTATTTGTTTGACATAAGCATGAATTTTTTCATTTGCAGTTTTGAGAAATGGTATCAAAATGTAGTGTTTATATTGAGTTGAACACAATTTTGCACTGCAAGAGTTAAATATACATAATGGGGTTTACATTACAAATAGAACCATTTGAGGTACTTCATGAATCAAATACAAATCAATGCCAGTTGTGTAATTTACAATGCTAATTCACAGCTAAATTATTTTTTACTTTCATTGTGGCATCTGTAATTGCAGTACAATGATTTGCTATGGTGTACTATTTAAAATCAAACTGAAGCTTGTAGTCTCCATGTTTCTTGTATGTGAGATCTGTTTATATCAGCTGTTTATTTTAAGACTAGAAGTATGACATACTCATTTTGAAAAGAGTACAAGTGAAAATCCTGGAAAATGCTTTCAAGTACACCCTTTATTTCATGTGAAAACACCCTGGAAATTGCACAGCTCTTGGTTTTATGCTGGCTGTTCAAGAATAATCATAATTTCATAATAAAGGTAAATAAATCAGAGCACTTACTAGCAGGCGTGTTTTGTGTCAGGAGTGAAGGTAGTTGCTATGTTTGAGGTTTCCACAATCGCTTTACTTCCAGTCGGTTTTAATTGTAATTTTCAAGATTTTAAACTCACTTGAAGCAGTGTGAGGGGGTTGGGAGTACTTTTAGGATTTTGGCTGCCTGCAAGTACAGAATTGGGAACAGGTAGTTTTCCCCTCTATCTTATCTGTAAGGTGCCTATTAACTTGTGCGCGCTCCCGCAAAATGGTTGCAGAAAGATAACCCTTGTTTCACAGTGCTAGCATACTAAACTTAGTTTTTTCTTTTGTGGATACAGTGGCAAGCTACTGCTTCAAACAGGGGCAAAAGGGCTCATTCTTAGTACGGGCTGAAAGTAAGGGTGCCTGCCTGCATGTGCTCTCTGTTTTCTTTGCAGTTGCACAAGTGCCGGTGTGATTCTGCCATTCCCTATACAAGGTCTTACAGAAAATCACTGGTTTTTCTGCGTGTTTGCTCCCTTAAAATGGCTCATTGTGGGATTAAATAAATTCTAGGCCTGGCCGGATTGAAGGAATGAGGGTTAGGACTTCATTTTGCAATGACAGTTGTCTTTTAACTTGTGTCAACTGTAATGAAAAGCCATAATAATCAATTTATTTAGATACAGCACTTAGCTAGTGTTCTCTGCTTTTTTTGTCCTGTTTAGTCTCGATGATTTTTATAAAAGCTTTTTTATCTTCTTTATTGCTATCTTTAAGATTCTACATGCCATTTTTAACTGTCTAGGTAATTGGCTATGAAGAGGAAACAGAAGAACTAACAATGTAGGGTTAGAAAAAGTGTGAGTCTCAAAATTCGGGCTATAGCTGTGCATTGTTTCCTGTTTGATTTTTCTTTATATAGCTTTTGTTCATTAAAAGAAGATAAATTGAAAACTTTACACTGCTACTACGTTATAGATGCAACTTTGAATGAGAAGAGGACAATAATTAGAGACGTTTCATGTGGTTGTAATAATGTAGGTGATTGAATTGTATTTGGACAGTGTGCACTAATATTTTAATTTTTCAGTGTGAAAGAGGGAAAATAGTTAATGATTTGCTGTACATGTATGATTTTGCAATCTATTTGACCATTGGCAGGGTAATTGTGCTTTTCGGTTACCACCTAAATTTATAATTAGATTACCTAGTATTTTCAGGAAATACTAATAGTCGTTAAAATACCTTAGATTAAATTTGACCTAATGTTTATCTTTATTGTCATTTCTTTAAGGCCCTATTGAATTTGAAGAATGTAACACGTCCAGCGCAGTTGAAGGTGAGTTATTGTAGCATAGTTATTTATGTAAGAATGCTGTGGATAAGGACCTGAAACCGTGGAGTGAAGGGCATTCAGTGTGTGAATCTGTATAACTTCAAAGTACTCCAGTAGACTAAAAAGCAGTTTTCCTTTTGAGAGACAAACTTCAACAAAAATAAGGCCTATAATACTTCATAAGCCTACAGCAGAAAGGTCAGAGAATTTTAATGTTTCTTATAAATATATTTTGGCTACGACCCTGCTTTTGCAGAGGTTTGGATTTGGTTCACTTATGACTGTGTTGTAACTCAATTTACAAGTGTCAAAACATGGCACGGGCTCTTTCCATTGTTACCACATTAGTTACACCAAGTCTAATGCAGTGTTATGGTCGCAAAGCCTTTCTTTGTTGGCATAGCTTATTTTGCTTAGGGGATTGTTTTAAGTGGTTAAGAACTGCTTTATTTGCATAAGCTATGTATTTACTTTTGGGACAGAGGAGTTGACAGTATAGCTATAGCAGCCGACAACTTTTAGGTTGCCAAGACTGCAGCTGAGACTTAAAATCTTTTTTGAGCGAAGCAGAGAGGATCCGTGTTCACAAACTACTCTCATACCCCATTTGTCATTGTTTTGGGCTGCATAAAGCACAGAAAGAATATAAACCCCACTTTAGCATTTAAAAATAATTTTGGAGCAAATTGTGCCTCTGTTAAAATAAAAGATATGGCTGAGTTTACAGCTACCTGATTTGAGAAGTTTTGAATTATTTGACCTTGAGAATTTCTAAAAGTGGAGAGATTTCTTATGTGCTGTGTAACATATTTCTCTAAAAGGGAATATAATGATTTTTTTTTTTTTAATGATGTGCTTGAATAGTCAGTTGTTAAATTTTGGAAATCAAATTATTTCCACCATTTTGCTCAAAAGCATGCTGTCAGTAGTATCATACATCAAAACAAAATTGCAGGCTAGTTGGATCAGATGCTTGCACTTAGTCATTTTGTTTGGCAGTCTACTTTGCTTCAGCAAAAATTGGGGAGAGAAGCAGATGTGACAGTAAGTAATGGAATATTTAAATGTATGTTAATTTTAGTACATTAAACAGGTATGAAAGCAAACTTTTTTTCTGTGCTATAGCTGTATGTATCCGATGCTAAAAACAGAGAAGAAAAAAACAGAGGGGAGTCATGGTTCCAGGCTCAGTGAGAGCCAGCCTTATGGCTGGCTACAGCACTGGGAAATCGTGAACTCAGCATCATCTGGAAAGCCAAGAGATGTTTTCTTTTTTTTTGCACGATCAAGATCCTACTTCTTAGGAGAGACAGGGGCTTGTAGCTACCAGGAACACGCAGGGAAATAACAATAGGTTGTTTAACTGCAGTAGCTGAGAGAGGCAGGGTTCAGTTTCTGATCCAAGTGCATTGGCTATTCACGGTCAGTCAGAGCAATAGCTCCTGCTGAGTTTCTGTGAGCGGAGTACCTTTCCTCAAAACTGGCAGTGCACCCATTTTCTATTAAAAACAAAAAAAGTGGCAGTCTCCATATCCAACTTGGAGAGTTGCATGTACAATGCAAATCAGTTGTATAAGGACTTATGCTACTAACGTGTTGAAACATATTTTAATGTAATTTTTTGATTGGTATGCTACTTAACAACAATTTGGAATAATGTTCCCTTAGTTTGGCTCCATACCTATTTTCCCTCTTAGATTTTTGTATCACTTGTGGCAGCATTTAAAATGTGTTGGCATTGATATGCACCCGTGTTTGACATTGCTAAATATGTTCTTATCTCTTTGATCTTTAAATGAAAAGTATTTGTTCCATAGGGATAAAACCACGGAAGAGGAAGCCTTTTGGTTTATCAGGAATAATGAAAAAAGAAAAAGATACTGAATCTGTGTAAGTATATTTCCACCTTGAAGCCCTGTCTTGTATGAAAACTAGTAGAAGTATAGGGATAAACATTAGCTGATGTTTAACAAAAAAATGGGTTTATGACAGAAGTTTAGAGGCATGCTATGAATATGAAAACATCACAGCTTTTTAAGATTTTTGTAACTAAGGATTTTAAGGAAGTAACATAAATGTATTCATAATAGTTTACTCACGTTTCATTCTTTCCTGTGCATAGGTAGGCAGTTCTCCCTTGTTCTACATTTGAACATTGTAGATAGTGTGATTCTCATGTGTGCTCCTAATGAAATAATAGCTCTGTACATGGAAAAAGTACCGTATGCCCGTGTTTGCAAAATTAAAGCTTCAGTTATTCTTTTAATAGAAAAACTTTTGTGTACAGTACCGAAGGGCAGAAAAATCTTTAAATGTTTTTTTCAGTACATCACGTGCACACTCATTTCTGAAAGACTGCCATTGTAACTCATGACTCATGTCCCAGCTATACTCTTTGCTATATTCATTCCATGTCCTCTGTCTCCCTGAAGTTCAAACTCTCCAGAAAGTGAGTTTGAATAAAAGTTCATAGATGGATTGGTCGCAGTCTACGTATTAGTAGTTATGGACACTATATTCCATTGTATTTTTTTCATAATTTCTAGTAGTGTTTTCTCATTAGAAGTATTTGATTTAACAGAAAATAGCTTACTACTTGACAAACTTAGCAATATAGAAATATTCTCAGAGGCAACATCTGCATACATACTTTTTAAAATTACTTTTAAAAAATATTTTACCAGCCTTAGTTTTTAATATAATGCAGAAAAATAATTGACCTAAGAACTGCAGGTGCTAATTATTTCCAAAGTGCATTATAGCTGTTTTTCTTTTGGTGTTTTATTTTAATTGTGATACACTTCTAAACCATGCTTTTTCTTCTCTTTGTCATGATGCCTTTAGTGCTCCAAGGTGTTGCTTTTTAAAAGTCATTCCTCTATAGATCTGTTCTTTCTGTGATTTAGGCTTTCCCCTGGCCTCACTTCTGTACTTTATTAAACTGGCATGAATGGTGAGACAAGTGTTGTATATAGTGTGATTTTGGTCAGCAGTAATCTGAGAATACTGTTTTGTTACAAAGAATATCTTTTTCTGATGAACATTTAGTTTAAAATAATTAAAATAGAATGTTATAAATATTTTATTATATTTGTGTTTTAAACAGCTTTAGTCCCTTTTTAAAAATAATCCATTCTCTCTGGAAAGTTATTTACTACATTTTTTGTGATGCAAAAATGTTGTCATATCAAATAGCAGCAAAAAAGTATGTTTGATCATTTGCCTTTTGTGTCTTGCATTTACTTAATTACAAAGTACTGATTTTGATAGTGTCGTATGATTGAATTCTGTAGCTGTCAGCTTCTATTGTCCAACAAAATAATTATTTTGCAACCACATGGGTTATTACTAAAGCTAATCTCATGTCATGTATGTTATAATCCTCCTCGCAATCCAGGCACCTCCTTCCATTCATTCTTTGGCAGATGATGAAATGTAATCTGGCCCCAGCAAAGATTTAAGGCACTTAATAGTAGTTTTCTGGAGCAAGTAAAGGCCTGGAAGCTCTAAATTAACTCTTCCTGGGTGTATGACTCAATGTATCCTTACTCAGAGATCATGTTTTGCTTTGACCTGTAACAGAAAGAAAATTTTCTTAGGTGCTGATGGCTGAAAACTGGCTTCTACGCTATGTGAAACACATTCTACCATTGTATGCTCATCCATTGTGGTATCCGAATACTTTTCTCAAAGTTGCTTTTCCCCATTTTATTTAATGTTGAAAGATAATATAGGTGTCTCTTTCTAGAACAAAAAAAAATCCATGACACAATGAGGCCATCAGAAAATATAAATCAGCTCAGCTACTCTCAAATAGGAAAAGAATTTGCCTTCATTTCAACAAGTTGGACTGAAAGTTGATATATATTATTTTATTTGTTTCTATATTTACATGCAATACAAAAATGAATAGATTCTGAAGTCAGAAAGAAAGAAGTACAACAGCATGATATTGACCTCCTATGTAACACATGCCACAGGCTTTTACAGAGATTCTTGCATTAACCCATAACTTCTAAATGAACTAGAACATGACAAATAAATAACAAAGGATTAATTATTTGCTTAAGTAAAATACTCTACTAGTTACTTATGATCTCTTTAAAAAATGTTGTCGCTAGTCTAAATTTTGTTTGATTTCATCTTCAGCTGATGATCCTGTTGTAGGCTGTACTTGATAAAACTCTGTATCATCAGAAACTTCTCTGCATATAGACGTCAAGTCCTTTCTTAATCTCTTGTTAAATTAGGCTGTAAACTTGTTTAGTTTGTGTACGGCAGGCTTTCCACATCTAGAAATACTCTAGTGGTTTGTAGGCATTTCATTTAATCAATGGAGTTTTTAAACATAAACTGGATGTTGTGTCTAGTAATAGTTTTACACGGGGAAATACCATACACAATGTATTCTATTACATACAGGTTAGTCAAGGATTTCACTTCTTTTTCTAACCACAGCTTTGCATGATTTGGTTGCTTTAGTTTTTATCTACAATCCTTAAATTCCCCTACAGAATTTGCCGAAATGTTAGTTTATACTAGAAGCATGACCTAGTTCTTTAACCTTAAAAGAAGGATCATGCATCTAGTGATGCACATCTGTCTAAAACCCGACGTCTTTATTTTTCACTTCACCAGCATTTGCAAACTATTGAGTTTTCCTTTGTATCTTGAGAACAGATCCTGGGAGCTGCGGTTGGAGCTCCTCTGACTGATACTAGATCTGCTGTTACTTTTTGAGATCTATTAGCTCACTAATTTTGAAAATCTTCATTATGGGCTGAATTACTTTCATTGTAGTTTGCCTCACATCTTTCACATTTTTTAAATTTTATGGACTTCAGGCTGTCTTGTTTGAGTACAGTCACTTTTTAAAACCACATGTCAGAAAGTCTGTTTGTTACATCTTTTGTGAGAAGTCTAATTAATACGTTGTCTCTTCAACCTGTGAAATAACTTTTTTAATAGCTCTTTGTATTGCTATGAATTCAGGTTAGCCAGCAGAGGGAGATTAAGACTAAGTCAATTAGAAACTTGGTCGCATATGTTTTTCTTTTGTGTGAGGCCTTTGAGAGGAGACGGGATCCTTCGTCTCACTGTCAATTCCTTAACAGGCTGTACTGAATTTCATACTTAGGCTTCCATGTTAGCAAGTTTTCATACCTGTTTTTAAAGACACTGTACTTTTTACATTTTTAACCCATTTAGCCTTTCAGAGAAGATGATTTAGATTGCTATAAATTCGATTTTTTTCCTCTTTTTTCTCTAAGTGCATGTTTAGTATGTTCAGTTTGGTTATATAAACGCACGGTTGTTCAGTAGCACTTATGGGATTATTTGTCAGGATGCAAATTAGAGAGGACTTGTACGCTACTCACGTATTCCCACATTCTGTAAATGTAATTGCTTCTGCTTTTTGCAGACATCAGAGAGAATCGGTGTCATTAATTTTTTTAAATAGTATTGCTTAAATCAAGGTTGTAGTGGAAAAATATAACACTTGTGAATAATGTGATTGCCTTTCTGCTGACAACTGTTGGGGTTTTTTAAAATACTTTTTGGGAGGTATTTTTTCCGACATCTTCTAGTGCTTTACTGCAACTGTGCTTGACAAACACGAACTACGAGTGAAATTCCAAAAGAGGGATGCTCTGAATTCTTAATTTCTTTCGGAACTGGTTATTGTCCAAAATGTTTTGCAATTGCATGAGGACTATTTCATTAGGATTGGTGACTCCTATTTATTGTGCACATCAGCCACAGAGACCTGACTCTTAAAAGCATATTCATCCAGAACACAGCATGGTACTCCTGGCTTCCCCTGATTTTTTTTTTTTTTTTTTTTTTCACTATGATGCAAGTTTGCTTTTTCAGCATTGCTTTTGAGTTTTTCTTCTGTGGTGTTTTGAACATAAACTTTCAGCTTTTATTTAAATTTCATTCACTTGTATGTGGATTATTTATAGCAAAAATTTTAACAGAGCCTGAGGCAAAAGGGTCAAATGCAGTGTTTCAAATTAATTTAAAATATTAAAGGAAGTACCAAAACTGTATGAATAAAATAATTTGTGCATTTTATAATGATATATTTTCTTTATTTTTTTTAATAGGGAGTGTCCAGATGCAGACTCAGTTGTAAGTAGACTTATTTCCAAAACAGATTCATATGGTAATATTGCCAAGCACTACAATCTGATGAAACTTGTATTTAGTCCGTATACCATCCCTGCAATACATTATTTATCTGGTAGAGGATTTAGTATTTTGATAACATAGATGAAGTGTTCTTTTTGCTTGGTACATAATCTTTAGCAGTATATACAAATATGTGTCAGTAATACATTTCTATTTCCTAACAATTTTAGATTTTAAACAAGGTGTTTTTACTGCAAGTATTTGCTACTGTATTTTTCAAGTTAATAAATTATTATTTTTATATATGATATATATATATAAAATAATAATTATAATTAATTAAATTGCTTGGCTAATAGATTCTAAGAAAGAAAAAGGTTCAGTTTATTGTGGATCCAACTTTGCATCATCATATTTCTCTGCTTATACTGTTTCCTTTGAGAAATCATTCTAATATCAATGCGGTTCTGCTTTATCACTGTCAATAGAGTGTAGGAGTATACTTTTTAAAATATGTCTTTAAATGCAGTATCTCTAGATACACTTTATTAATAGCATGTTTTACATTGCTGTCAGTTTGATCTGTGGTACCTCTTACAGTTTCATTTATTAAATTGTGACTTAAATTAATTAAATATTAATTAATTGAATTAATTAAATATTAAATTCATTTATTAAATGTGACAGTTGCAAATTAAATTAGTAAGTTAATGCTTTTTTATTTCCTTAATTGAGCCTTTTCTTTTTATTTAAACATGTATGTTGTCTTGAATTGTGTGTAACAGAGATTGCAGCTCCCTATAGCTATAGTAGGGAATAATTTACAGAATAATTTAAGAGATTTTTCTGTAGACTGATTTGTTTTTCAGTTCATTTATTTAGATACCAATTATGTTAAACAATTTAAGTACCCAAGTTCACCTGTTTTGTGGATTTTCTTCTTTGCATTTAATATCTGGGAGTTTTAGTACCTAATATTAAAACCACTTTTGAGAAACTTGGTTTAAAAAAATCTAGTAGAACCATTCTTCTAAATAAGGAAGAGTAAATTTTGCCCCATAATAGAACTGTATGTGTAAGAACAGCCTTGTAAGCATCATGAGGACAGTTATTTTATCCTGTTCAAAGTCATTTTGTTTAGACCAAATTTCTTTTCTTTGGGTACGTTTCAAGTAAAGTACCTTTGGAATTATCCCTATAATTATCAGGCGTTTCATAGAAATAATGTCTTTTGACAGTTCAGGTTGAATCACTGGACTGAACCACAACTGAGTTTGACTTGCAGTTTTTATTTTCTTCTTTGCTTATTTTGGTCTCTCTAATTGTTTTTAAAAACAATGAGTTCAGAAAATTGAACTGCAAATGTGTCTGTCATTCTTTCTGGCTGCATGAGGCACACCATATGGTCACCTAAGTCAATTGTTCTGTCTAGGTGTAATTTACATTTTGTTAAAAGAAAAAAGACCTAACTTTCATAGTGTCTAACAAGAAAACTGCTACTTTCATTGCATTCTCTTTTTTTATGCCCAACATTTTATGACTGCATTTGGAATTTTAAAGTTTGTCTCGTTTCTTCTTGCTTTTTACAAGCAACAGTATTATTCTGAATGGTAGAACGCTTTAATAGCAATAACCGTTACTGTCGTTCTCATGAAAAATGATACAGCATACCATAGATAAGATTAATTTCACTCCTTACAAACAAGCACCCCAAACTGCCTATACATTTTAAGGTTGGTGTCCTCTTCTGGAAGGTCCCATTTCAAATGTTTTTCATTTTTCTTTTACTTTAAGGTTTCTTTTCTGTTTAATTTTTCAAACTTGATATAAATAGTTATAGCTACCCATATTGTTATCTCTGTGAGGATTTATTTTGTGTGGATTGTTGCCATAAATTACACATTTCAAGAAATTTAACTTTGAAAAGTATTATTGCAAAAAAAAAAAAAAAAAGTGAAAGCAATTATCAATTGTGTTGATTGCTAGAAAATACTGAGGACCGGCCCTCAGAAAATTTGACGTACTTAAGGTGTCCCAGTAATTATTTTGGTCGGCTTTGGTCACTCACAGAAAATCTCTGTCTGGCTTTTATATTATTAACATGATCTTTTTTAAAAAGGTGGCTTTTGTTTATTTGTCAAGAATCTTAATTGTGTGAAAGGAATGTAAGAAATAACCACTCTACTATTATTTATAACTATAAGCACTGAGGTAAATATATTGAAATTTTAGAAGTTAAGGATCCAGTAAGAATTTACTTCAATACTTTGTTTACCAGTTCTACATGATATTGTGCATCTCTGAACACACAGAGTGTAGTCAATACCTTTAAGCCCTTCTTACTTGTCCAAAATGTATAATGCAGTGTGTTCGAACTTGTATTCTCTGTTTCTAGAAAACAAAACGAGTTGATCCTAAAACATGCCTTCACTTCAATAAGCAGTCTCTGTTTAAATATAGATGACATCATGTCATGAGATTTAAAATTCCTGTGTTGTTATATGTCAGTCTACACAGGTAACTTCCATTAAGCTAAGCCTTGATAATTAAGAAAAGTAGAAAGTTATAGGTGTGTACACTTAGAAAGAGATAGCAACTGAAGTCTGGCTCTGTATGTGCTTATTACCTAGAAAGTTTTTCTAAAGGCAGAACTAATTGTCTTGCTTCCAACAGGTTTGACGTGTCTCTAGGGGTGGTCTATAGGAAGATACGAGCTGTAGTAGTAATTTTTCTTTTGGGGAAGCATTTACAAGGTTCCGCTTGTGCCATAAGATCTGAATTTGGATTGCAGCCCTTCCCTTGGTTGGGATACTTGCAGATCTCCTTCTTTGACTGCCTATTTTCATGAAGACTGTAGTATTCACCAAAACTCAAAAAACAAGTTTTGGCAATAGAATGCTTAGTCCTCATGCTTTTTGTATAAGCAGTTTTACTTTGTTATTTGTTACATCTTTATGTTTTATTTCCTTAAAAAGTTATTCACCCCAGAAAGTTCGTAGAACATACTAATGCAAAGACAGAGTTATAAGCCTTAAATTTTTAATGTGTATTTAAAAATATATAATAACTTTATTAGTAATGGGATGTATTACATCTGCAAACACAGGGAAGACTGTGGGTTTTGTAGCTATATGTTTAATTGCTTAACAGAACCTCTAAGAATGTGAAACCTTCCAAGGAAGTCCATCTTTCCAGTTACTTCTGCAGAGTTCCATTCACATGCATATTGAGCTTATTTTTGTTGCAAAGATTACAAACAACGTCTTTGGGTAGGGGGATAGATCAGACCTACATCCCCATTGCATTAATAACTAGTTCTTACAGAAACCCAAAGTTTGCAAAGATCTTCTTCCTCTGTGTTGAAGTTCAAAAATGACACATGTATGCATGAAAGTTGTAGTTTTTTCCTCTGATCATCATGGTAGGCAAATCAGGTTTTGTGTGTATTGTGTGACTGATACTTAAAAGACACACTGTTTTCCACAACGTAAGATAATAGTTCTGCAACTGTAGCAGTGTGGAAAAGGAAGTAAGAATTAGTCAAGTAAACGTAAATGCCTTCATTAACATCAGATTCATTAATAGCTATCTCTCAACATGCTGTATCCTCTACCACTGTTGCAAAAATCAGATTACTAAACAAAATTCTGATGTTTCAGAAAGTAGAATTGTTCACCTGTTCAACCGTTGAAAATATTGAAAACAATATTTTGAAATTACTGCTTAACTTACAAGTAAGATTTTGAGGTACCATTTTGCTTGTGTTTGACACAATTTGTCTTTGTCAATACAAAATTACATTAGGTATCTATTCCACCCCTTTTCTTCTATCGGTTTACACAAAAATATAAACTTAGTATCTCATTAATGAAAGCAGAAGGTGTTTTAAGAATGATCATAAATTCATACAAGATCAATCTGAATCATTGACAAAGCTGGAAATACTAAGTGGATGATTTCTGACTCTATACACTATGTAGAGTCAGATGTTTTAAATTACATGTATTTAAATTTTAGAAATAGGAAACAAAGAAGTACAAATTAAGTTTTCTGCAGTGTTAGAAAAAAGTGGTAATGCATGCGTGCTGAAAAAGAAGCAAGGAATTGTTCAGTTTCTATGTTCAGAACTCAAGCTGTAAAGCATCCATCTCTATTATGTATGCATTAACTTTGACTTTGTATCTGAAGTTATGAATACACACTACATGGTAAAGTGCCATTGCTGAGGAATTCATGATTCAAATATCTTTGCAAGATCAGAAATAATTAACATGAAAATATTAAGAAAGAAGTTCAATACTTTGAGAACTTTAAGATTTTAGTGCTTTCTAAGGATTTACTTTATCCTAGAGATTATTCAGTAAATTAAAAATTATGCGATGAAAATAACTTCTGCAAACTAAGTTTTTTCACAATTTTATATCACAGTAGTCAGATTTCCCAGCTATGTTGTGCATGCTTTATGTGCCTAGTAATAATATCCTTTACATATATGGCCCACGTAGGAATACAAAAAACTAAATGTTGTATTTTTAAAGATTTTTCTTGGTTTTCAATTCATCTTAACCATGAATGATCCTGATCTATTAAAAATTGGCGAGTATGACAACTAAAATAATTTCAGAATTCAGAAGTTGTAGTATTGTAGGAAAATGTACCTACCCTCTAGCTATATGTTTTTGTACTGTTTACTTTGATGTCAAGTTTCATTAGTGTTTTTTGGTATATAAACAAGGTCGGCCTGAGGTCAAGCGTAGCTAAGAACCCTGATTTGAGCAAGTAGAGCTAAGGTACTGGACCGTGTGATCCTACTCTTATTACTTTTTTTTTTTCGTTAAGTTCTTTTTCTTCCCTCTTTTTTTTTTTTTTTAATCAAATAGTGGTGAAGTCCAGATCTTACAAGTATTTCAAGAAATTGCATTTAGATGTTCCATATTTTAAGATTTGAGCTTAAAGATTATTTTTTGGCCTTAGTTTGATGCACTGTTTAATTGGGTACAGTATTACATCTGCTATACAGGATTGTATTGCTTACTCTTTTTAGCAGAAAGTTTGATCTATGTTTAAATTCATTCCATTTAATTCAGAAGTGCTAGGTTTAGAGAGCTGCACAGAAGATAATCTTTCTTAGTAAAATGTCAGACATCCCATTTGTGATATCTATAAAAGGAATAGATGGACAACTGCATTTTTATGTTTATCTTCCTCTGTAATTCAAAAGCTATTCAAAGTGAATATCTCTTTAAATTTGGCTTCAAATTTTAGGTGAAGTCAAGTGGTTCCTTGCTAGTCCACTTGAAGTCTCCAGTGTAAGTCATTTTGTTGTATCTCGTGACTTACAATGGCAAGGTGTATTTTGGCCATGCTGTATATATCTCTATTAGTCAAACTGCCTTCTAGTACCTACTTTCTGGTAGAATAAACTGATTGGTACACTGGAATAAATCACTTTTGAATATGAATCTTCTCATTTTTATAAGACATTTATTACTGGTGAAATCAGTACATTTTGAAGGCACTTGGTTGTTGTTTATTGTAATAACCTTACTGAGGCATTTAAGCTGTTCACATAGACTAACTACGCATACAAAGTCATGAGTGGGCTCCTCTGAATGACGGAATATCTGTGTATCCAGGTTTATCCCTTTACATATAATGTACACGAGTGTGGTTTTTTGCACATTTTTAAAATTTAGATTATTATGTTAGGGATGTTTCTCTCTGCCTCGAAGCTTTTTTATGAAACTAAGTGCTTAGCTAAGCATTCTGAATGATTTTAACAGAATTCTCTTCCATTTGTATTTCATTACCTGCAAGAACTGAAAAACAGAACAAGTCTGACGTTCAAAGATGCTTATTAGCTTTGAAAATCCAGGATGGTGTTGGAGATGTATAAAGGAAAAATTTTGAACCCAATTTTGAGCACTTGTATTTAAGTGCCTTTTCATTAATGTGGATATTCTTTGCTAAAGCAACAGTGCCGGCTTGCTGCCTTTTCCAGGGGGGAGAGGAAGTTGCAACCTGTGTAACCTGGAATGCTTTTCCTCACTTATTAAAGTTTTGACTGCGACTTAAGAAAGATTTTGCTTGTGTGCCATCAGAGCCTCCTGTGACTTAGCTGAGAGAATCAGAAGTAGAAATTAGGAAAATATTTGGGGCTGAGAGAATTGTAGGTTTATTTAACACTCAATAGTAAAGCTAAAATGCTTCTGTTGGTTTCTGACCTTGTTGATAGAGTACCAGTAAAAGCAGATGCATTCAAATTTGCCAGTTTTCATAGGAAATTTGGAGGTTGTTTTGTTGTATTCGGTTCCTGAGGTATCTTATCACACTACTTCTGAATTACAGATCATAACTTGAGATAATTGTGATAATTAATGGTGAATAGCAATGACTTTCATGAGCTGTCATAATCAAATTTTAATTTTTCAATCATATAAAATTCAGTCTGATGTAAGAACAGTAATGGGTTTTTAGTTATTTGTCCATACCATGATTTTTGTTGTTGTTTTTAGAACATTCCTGATGTAGATGATGAAGGATACAGCATTAAACCAGAAACAACGCAGGATATCCTTTTCACTATTATTGTGTCAAGTTATTTGATGTTATTATGATTCTTTGGAGAGAGGAAGTACTGATCTAAGTGTTAATTAAAGGAAGAAGAATGACATTCATGCTTATGTTGCAACCCTGTATTCTTATGTTCATAGCTTTTGCAAAATGTGCACAGTTTTGTCTATCTTAGATTTTGCATCTGTGCAAATGGTGAAGATTAGATCTTATGTCTTGGGAACTTTAACAGGATCATTTTTGTCTGACAGTAAAAGAACAATATTAAAGACAAAAAGCCTGAACAAAAGCTTTAAGGTGACCACACAGATCTTTCTCCTTGTAAAGATCTCAGAGGATTTGTAAAGTAAAGTTTGTAAACATTTTTAAGCGTACGGAATGGTTATCTGTTCTATACCTGCACCCTTCCACTTTTTTATAACATCATTAAAAAGATTGGGAGGTCCAGCATTCTAGAAACTTAATTTCTGTTATGTAATGAAGTCATTACACCACATGCTGTTTCTAATTGGTGCTTCTAGCTTGTATTGTCTTTTTAATAATAGCTTTGATATACAGAATAGATTTTTGTAATGAGTCATTTTTTATGGACCCTCTTGATTTTTCTCTGCTCTTCCTTTGAAGGAAAAAATTCTTGTCTTCATTTTTCCTCCCATCAGAAACAGAGGGAGGCTCTGCTTAAGAGCTGGGAATAATTGCTGTAGATCTAAGCAAGCCTAATATGTTAGCAAGATTGCTCATTTTTGGAAATGTTTTCACTGAATTCGCTGAGCACTGCAGGTAGAAGGTAAACTTACACTTTGCAATTACCTTAAATTGTGAGAACTTTTAAGCAGTTAACAGCACCTTAAAGTTGGCCAGTCCATCATCACACCTTCTCTGTTCTCATCAACTTAGAATAGTATTCCTCTTGCCCGCAGTGAAGATTCCTGTACTGGTAAAAGCAGTTCATGTTATCTCCTGTTTACAAAATTGATATAAAAGGGAAAGACTTTTATCCAGTTCTGAGAGGGGCGTTATTTCATGCTTTGCATGCATTTATGAAAGGGAGAGAAGAGTGAACAACATTCATGCTTTATAAATGATTCATCTGGGCATCCTTTTCTACATTATCCTTTTTGTTGTGAAACAATAGAAAAGGCCATACATTCAGCGAAAAAGCTCAATGATTTGCAGTCCCTGTCAGTCAGGTAGTACGTCAGCTTTTGAAAATCTTGACCAGATTCAGGAAGTCATCGGTTCCCTTCCTCTTTTCCTGCCTTAGCCTCCAAGAGTGGGTATTTATTCTGTTGATGGGAACTCTTGAGATGATTTGTTGAAGGACAGTGTTTTACCACAATGGCAGTCAGACTTACTAAGGCCAGTCTTCAGTGTTGGAAAAGCACTTCACAAGAGCTGCCTGATTCTTAGGAAATAGATCTGGAAAGTCAGTGATAACTTTAAAGACGAGATATTTTGATGAAATGAAAAGCAACTTATCTTTGAAACTTTATTTTCCAGATATGATCCATTTTGAGGGGCAGACAGGCTAAGATGAAGACATTTGACTTTTTCCTCACCATGACTCAGGGATTCTTTTAGTTGAAACGGATTTGGAATGTCTTTAGGGTTCAGGTTTTAATCTTTGTCAGGGAAGCGTTTGGAGAGATTTAATTCAAATGACTGGCATATTTCCAAGTGAAAATAATATAAGTGAGGTATAGAATATGTACACCACCCCTAGGTGGCACAAAACTTTTATGTTTAAGTAGAGGAAAAATTTCATATTCTTTCTTGTCAAAACAAATGCATCTTTTAAGGCTTAGCATAGGCCGTTCAGAGCTTTTGTTCAGCGCAGCTCCCGTGCATATAAAGAACCAAGGCTAAATTCAGCTGCACGTTTTGCTTATTTTGGGGGCTGAGTTGTCATTGTGATTTCTTTTTTGCCAAGGGTGACAGTGCTTTAAGCAGCTGACATTGTTCAGTTTACTGTGCAGCCTTCTGTGTAACTGGCATCCCTTCTTGCAAAGTTTTCAGTGCCACTGTAAAAGGGGCAAGTAACGGTGGCTGCTGCTGCTGCTGGGTCCTCTACTACTTATGCTTGGGCATGGGTATTCCACTGCTAATTAAAAAGGCCAGGGTTTTCCTTCACTTGGTCTAAAATGATTTGTACATTTTTCATACATGTGTTAGAATCCATGGTTGCGTTTTACAAATCATACATTTAACATGCAGAAGTGTTGCTACTGTAGATTCTTTAATTTATCCTGATGCCTTCAAACTGCAGTTTTTCAGTTAAATGATAGATATTGTAGTTGTTCGGTTATATGTGCCTTTCAGGACAGAATACCTTTGTGAAGATGAATGGAATATAAAAACTAAATTTTAACTGAGTTGTGAATTTTGGACAGTGGATATATTTAAAATGTATGTATAACAGCACAAAGAGGTTATGCAGCATTGTTTATCTGTGTTGTTCACTTAATATGAGCATTTTGTAGAGCATAATTATGAAATGGATTAAGCAGATGAATTTGAAGTATTTCCACCTTAACTGAAAAAAACATACCAAAGAGAACGATTTCAGTTCATCCAGTGATTCTGACTCTGAAGATGATGAACCCAGGAGGTTCCATATAGAAATAAAACCTGTCCAGCCAAATAATAGCTCCATGCCTTCCTTGGATGAATTAAAAGTATCTATAGGAAACATCACTCTTTCTCCAGCAATATCTGTAAGTTATTTTGTTCCTTGTATTTTTAATGCGTGGAAAAGTAGTAAAGAATCTTTACTGTAAACATTATTTTACTGTTCAGAATTTATTCTAGGTTCAAGTTCAATGGTTTTTTTTATCTTGTGCACTAGGTCATCTTTGGTACACTTTATCACAGTGTAACATTAAGTAATTCTCCCTTCTCAGATTTAAATTTTCCTTTGAGTCTTGGGGAGCGCTCAGTCCTTGTCTTTCTGCTGTTGCCACCACAAGACATTTGAATACATTGTGTGTAAAAGCTGAGCATGGCTTTTAACATAGTTTACTAATTAGTATTCGATGATAATGTGGATACACGTAACATTTACACTGCAGCTTTATTGATGTATTCTGCCAATCCACAAAATGACCCTTTGTATCGTGAGATAATATAGCAAATAAATAGTATTAAAATATGCTAGTGCAATAGTCAGATCTGAATAAGAACAGCTCTGATTTTAAGGAAAATATTGGGCATAACATATTAAAATGTTATATAATTTTTCTCTCTTTTCCCCCCACATTTTGAAAGCAGAGACACAGTCCTGTAAGTACAGAATGGATTTTTATTCACATTTTTAGATTAAAACCAAGTAAGTGTAGTATGTGAGGGGAGAGCCTTAGGAATGTTTCTTTTCATATATATCATGTGATATATAAGCTGTTTAGTTTTACTGCCCCAGCCTGTAAAGGGATTTAGTAATACTGCTGCCTTTGTCAGTACTACAGTGTTTGTTCCTGCCTTTACTTACTGGTGTGGCGGGTGTACACTGGTTGCTCTGTCCTGGTTCATGTTCTGGTCTTCTGCAAGCTCAGGCTGTTTTGCATGGCACTGAAAGCAAAGTATCTCATAGAAAGTTGAGTGGAAATAAGAACCCTGGGACTAATAAGTGTTTTATTTGACAGTTGGTGAAAGAATTTATTCCTAATTTTTTTTTTTTTTTTTTCTGTTTCAGGCACAAATTAATCGAAATTCATCCAGTAAGTCCAGACCTTTACCTTTTAGTCTATTTATGGTAGTTTTTTAACATAGCATGAAAATACATTTTTTTTAATTGTTGAAGAAATAGATTTTCTAAGTGTTTGTATTTTAAATAGAAAAGAAAAGATTTCTCTTGTCAGTTCTAGATACCTCTTCTTTTTCAATATACTTGGCTGTTCGCTGTTCTGGGAAACAGATGAGGCTGTCTGTGACAGTGATGAGGAACACATCCAGGAGCCAAAGTGGGGACCCCATGTCAAAGACTCCTGTGCAAGTTCTTAAAACCCTTCCACCCTCTCAAGTTTAGGATGATCCACAAACCAGCAAAGCACAGTCTCTCTGTTTTATAGTCAAACACATAAAATGTGGCCATGGAGATAGAGGACTGACCATTAGTCTTTGTCCTGTAGGGTTTTTTTCAATGGGAAACCAAGCCAGATTTGCTGAAAAATAATATTGATGTAAACAGCATAATTTAAGGAGAAAATTTCAATTGAACAACACTTCCTCCCAAAATGCATTGCTCTGTGTAGTCCTCTCCTATTAGAAGGTATTTCAGGAGTATCTGAATTTATATAATCAAAAATAATACATTTTCTTTTTTCCATTTTAAGAATTCATTATTAGTTTCTAACTGCAACCATTAATATTTACTGTTTTTTTATAATGAAGCGGAATTTTTTATTTTAGAGTGTCACAGCTTTAGTGATAATACTGTATCTTTTGCTTAGGTGAAGAGTTAACAAAATCAAAGCTTTCTGCTCCAACTAATGAGTAAGTTCAAATTTAAAATCAAATCTAAAATCCTATCAAATGCAGTTTTGTGGCAATTTGGTCTTATTTTCATCTAATACCTGGAAACTCATTGGAAATATCAGATGACTGCTATTTTAAGTTGGGCGTCTATTGCATCATAAGAGTTAAGGAGTAATTATGTAACAATGGAGATTTCTATTCATTTCTTTTGCCCTTCTAATGCATTTGCTTCATTGTGATATGTCTCAGTTGATATTTATAATTATATGATCACAAAACTTTGGGTTTTATTAAAATCTCAGGTTTTTAAATAAGGCAGGTTTAGTTTCTATCCTGTAGTGTTTTGTGGTAATGAGTTTAGGATTAAAAGCCCCATATTCGGACAGGTTTGTATACATTGCTTGTATATGTATATACTGAAATAAATGGATTTGAAGACGTATGTCTCCTTGAAAATGACATTCATTTAACTGACATTATGAAGTACGTCCAAACACAAACTTGCACCAATGTGTCAGTTCAGATAGTCTCCTTATGTGTAAATCAGTTTCTTGACCTGCAATTGATAAGTACTTTTTATTTTTAGATGCAAAGACTAACTAATAAGGATGAATTTAGCAAATTTATTTATCATATTATTATATTTATTATATTATCAAACTACTACTGAAGTTGTCATTTGATTTTTATGACTACATACATCTGTCTTTTATATTCCAATTGTAACTCTTAATATAGAAAAGGGAACAGTGACCTCCTGGCATGGGATCCACTCTTCAGCAGTTCTCTTGAATCATCTTCTTCAACTTCCTTGGCATCCTCATCCTCCTCAGGTAAAATATTTGATAGTAGAAAATGTTTTCTCTGTGTACTTCAGGATGTTCCGTTGCTCCTTTTTTGGTTATTGCAAGGGGACGTGCTTTGACTATCGAAAGGAAAGAATTTTGTTAAGAATACACTGTCTTACAAGTAATACGGAACTGAGGGTGCAGTATATCAGGCTTTCAAGCTAGGGAGCAAGGGGGAAGAGGAAATGCCTTAGGAAAATTCTGTCTTGTTTCTGCCTATTTTTATCACCTTCTCTCAGTTTCCAAAAAATCATCACCATCTAGTATATAATCCTATTTTTTCAGCTGGTAGGCCTGGTAGATTAAATGGAGGTTATCACAGCAACTGTGAGACAAGCTGAGCTTGCACTGTGAATATGGGTGGGTTTCTTCTTTCCAGGAAAGTCTGTTGAGCTGTGTAGTACAAAGGCACCACCGACCTTTGCTGTGAGGAACTTGTTTCCTGTATGAAACTATGATTCTGTTAGGAGATGTGTGTGCCTAATCCAAGGGGAGCCAGATAAAAATGGCAGGACTGACACTAGAATTGACGGGGAGTTCCTGGCACCACCTGAGAGCAGGGGTATTGGGAGGAAAAGGGTGGGCTGAGCAGTATGGGAGAAGGAGGGGGAGGACAGATGTTGCATGGGCATTTGGGGGTGCAGG